TCCTAAGTGTTTCCTTAAGTTTTGGCCCAGAAAAATCAAGTTTTGATGCTTAAAGATTGAGTTTTGAACTTGTAGATAAAATTTGGAAATTCCAGAATTTGCACCTACGTTCGAGTGCTGGAATTCACGCTTGAGCGACCACTCTGAGTGCGTGCACCTCCGATCGAGCGATTGAAAGTTCGCTCGAGCGTGAAATGCATGCTCTCAGAAGTTCATATGTTTTGCAGATTGCTCAAGCGAAGGTCTGAGTCTCACGCTCGAGCGGGGATCGAGCCTCCGTCGAGCGTGAAAATGAAGCAACCAGTACTTTTGTCAAAGTTTGCAAACCGTTCGAGTGAAGAAATTTACGCTCGAACGGACCCTCACATTTTGCATGTCTGCTCGAGCGAGGAAAGCCATGCTCGAGCGTGGATTCTATTTTCAGCAAGTTTTGAAAAATGTTTTGAAGTACATTTTTGCAACCTCATTCCATCATAGGCATTCCTAGGCCAAGACTAAGACGCCATAATCAGGATAAGGCTAGAAGCATACTAAGAACAATGAAATAAGTTATGTACACTTCGAGCATGTGTTTCAATGTTTTTATTTGTTATGTTATGTAGGTCACGCGCCACAAGACATCTAAATTGCTTATCTTGTCTGTTTGCCTTAGAGCCTCTGTTATATGTGAGTAATAACTTTGTAAAGCTATGTTTGATTATAAGAATTTTTTGAATGACATAAGATGATCTGTTTCTGAAATATTATTTTCTGTATGAATGAATGGTTATCCAATGTTTCTGAAATGTATCCGCGGCATTCTTAGTTTCAAATGACATCTGTTATCTGTTCTGTTACATCCTAATTATGGGTCAACTGTACGTCTCATGAGCCAACTGTTATGGATCCTTATGTGTACGTCCCTTAATGGGCCAACTGTACGTCTCATGAGCCAATTGTACCGTCTCCGTGCACGAGAGTCAACTGTATGCCTTTATGGGTCAACTATATGCCTTTATGGCCGTCCATTTATGGGTCAACTGTTTCTGCCAGTGCTAATGGATGTACCACGTATGATTAACTGCAAATTCTGATTATGAGTATGATTCTGAATCTGTTTCTGTTATGAACTTTGATTTCTGAACATGATTATGAATCCATTTTTGTTAACTATTGAATTATATTTTCTGTAACTGTTATGCACAACATTCATTAAACCTCTTTACTCTGTTATTATCCACTGGGCTCCAGCTCATTATTGATATTATGTATGTAGGTGAGTAGACACGTGACCAGGCCTAGAGTTGACGGCCTATGTTTTTGTTTTGTCAGCCAACTACCGTGTCTCCTGAGGAGGTTCCTTTTGAGAGGATTATGTCAAGGCTTTAGTTGAGCTTGTTTTGTATATCTGTACTTGGACTAAGTACCCCTTTGACCCTATTTGTGTAATTGAGTGACGTAAGACTAATGTATTTTTGACGTCACGTCTGTATATATATAAGTTTGTTTTGAAAATTTCTGTCCCATGTATGTCTACACAGCTCTACGGACTATGTTAATTTTATATATTTGCTTCCGCAGCCCCTATCTTATGTTATCCTGTTAAGAGGCCTTTGGTAATCCAAGGATTACTGGCCGGTTACGGCGCTGAACCTATATGGGGGGGTTCGGGTTGTGACAAGAGTCTCCAGCCCAGTTGGAATCAGAATAAGCCTGAAGAGTAAAGGAATTGGGTGTATAGGTGAGGCCCTGAGACAGAGTTCCTTTAAGATACCTAAGCAACCTTTGACACTAGCAAAATGGCCAAGATTAGGATTATGCATATGCTGACAGAGGTGATTTACAGCAAAAGACAAGTCAGGCCTGGTAATGGTTAAGTACTACAATGCCCCAACTATACTTTTATAGAAAGAAGGATTGTGAAAAGGAACATCAGATTTGTGAGGCAACCCAGGCTTAATAGATATAGGTGAATCACATGGCTTACAATCCAACATACCAGCCTTAGTAAGAACATCCTGAGCGTACATGGTTTGAGAAAGTACATCGGTAGAGCCAGAGGTGGCAACAAAAATACCCAAAAAATAAGAAAGATTGCCAAGCTCTTTAATAGAAAATGCTGATGCATTTTAGTAATAAGCAGCTGAATATGTGTAACATTATTCCCAGTGAGGAGAATATCATCCACATAAACTAGAAGAGCAATGAAGACTAGACCATGCTGATATATGAACAGAGCAGAGTCACACTTGCTATTTTTGAACCCTTGGGAGAACAAAAAGGCTGAAAAGGGCGAGTACCATGCTCTTGGTGCTTGTTTAAGACCATACAAAGCGTTGTGGAGCTTACAAACTTGCTATGGATGAGAAGAATGCTCAAATCCTAGTGGCTGCAATATGTAAACCTCTTCCTCACGAAGGCCATGAAGAAAAGGATTAGAGATATCTAGTTGCTTGATAGGCCAATGGTGATGAAGAGCAAGACATAAAAGAATGCGAATGGTGGGCAACTTAGCAACAGGACTAAAAGTTTCCTGAAAGTCAATGCCCTCTTGTTGGAGATAGCCTTTGGCCACTAATCTGGCCTTATGTCTAGCAATAGTCCCATTAGAATTCCTCTTGACCTTAAACACCCATTTACAACCTATGGCATGCTTCTTAGGAGGAAGAGAAACAATGGACCAAGTTTTTTAGGCTTGAAGAGCCTGAAATTTTTCCAACATAGCCTGTTTCCAAACAAGGGACCAAGTGATGTGGAGTTAGAAGAAGGCCTTTACCAGTGTGTTGCATAGGAATGGAGTTTTCATCTCCTATGGTAATCTGTTTTGAGCCTTGATAAGGTTGATAGCTATTTAGATGACTGAGATCATTAGTCACATGATCTGATGCTGCAGAATCCAAGTACCAAGGACTTTGAACTAAGGAAGAACCTATTGAGGAAGGAGATAAGGAGGTTGCTGAGGAAGTAACAAAGGCTCGTGGTTGCTGCTGTTGATTGTGAGTCTGAAAATTTTGATGTGAAGCCTGATATTGTGGATCCATGCGATACCAACACTCCAGTGCATAATGACTGGAGCCTCCACAAATTTGGCAAATTTGATTTGAGAACCTTTCTCGACCTCAAGATGGCATAAATCTACCATAACCTCTAGTTCGGCCTCCTCTTCCTCCTCTAGAATAAGATCGACCTCGATTGGAGCCAAAATTCTGAGATCTTGACGATGAAGTGTGATGGGTCGTTGAACACACCAAAATTAAATACTAAACTATACCAAATTCTATCAGAATATTGGCAAGTCCAGGTATCGATCCACATGGACTAAATTATGCTATGGTTTGAACGGATTAATGCTTTGCAACTACAAGCTCAAAGCATTTAACAAGAAGATCATCACATTCAATGTACGAGCACAAACCATCTCAAGCAATACGAATCGTTCACTCTAAATTAGGGTAGTGATACGACTCGTTCCTCGTAGCATGGTTCGTCCCATACCTTGAATGTGAAGGAATAGAAAACTCATGTATGGATAATATTTAACAATCACAGAAAGTCAAATATTTGAAAAGATAATGAAAATTATATATAAATAATTTCTAAAACACCATATAATGGTTCAAACCTTTACATAATATAAAATCAAAAAAGAAAAACCTATTACATGGCTAGGGTTTCTTCAAAACCCTAGAAAAGGAGACTAGCCACTCATGGAGGAGTGGGAGGAGGTAGATGGAGAAGGAACCACCATGGGAGACATCTTTGAAGCTTCTTGCTTCTTCCTCTTTTTCAAACCCTAGCCTCTCTCTTTAGGTCCCAACAATTTCAGAACCCTAATCCAGCCTTTTACTTGCCTTTTTATACTTCCAATCTCGTCCAAACAGGTTTAAAACGTCGGTTTGACTTTCAGAGAAAAAGTCAACGCACGTGCAGAAAAAGTCAACGCACGTGCGAAAAAGTCAACTCTGCCCAAATTCTGTCTTTTTGCTCATTTTATGCTCCAACGATGTATAACCTGATTGACACTCAACACACATAAAATATACAGTTTGACCAGCAAGTGAAGTTAAGGGATTCTAATTAACGGCCTCAATGACGTACATTTCGGCCTTAATCAAAGTGTGAAAAGAATTTGGATTGGAGATCCTTTAACTGTAGAGAAAACTACAGTTGATTCTGTGGATTTGTTTATCTTGAAATCTAAACGAATTGCTTCAGAACACAGTAAAGCACAAAGATCATCCATGGTGATGTTGTCTGGTCTAGCACGAATGGTAGTAGCAAATGAATCAAACTTAGAAGGAAGACCATTCAGAGTCACTAAGACTAGATCTTCATCTTCAATTTTAACAGATGTTAGAGCTAACTGACTGACAAGGTCCTTAATTTTGGAGAGATATTCTTCCATTGACTCAGTTTTCTTAGCAACACTGTTTAACTTGTTTTTCAATTGGTGAATATGAGATCGAGACAAAGTTGTATACCGCTTGTGGAGAGAACTCCAGACCTCAGAACAATGATGAAACTGAAGTACAAATGCACAGATTGAAGGTGTAAGTATTGCAATGATACAACTGAGCAAGTGTGCATCAATCAAAGTCCATTGAAGAAATTCTGAATTTGGAATAGAAGCTCCTTATGGATCTGTGATTGTAGAGGTTGGACATGGAATTGATCCATCAACATAACCATGCAGATTTGTGGCTCGAAGACTATTCGAGAGCTGAGTTTTCCAAACAAGGAAATTGGAACCATCAAGTTTGATAGTAACAAAGGAGGAAAGATTAGAAATTAACAGAGTGAGATTTGAAAGAAGCAAAGATGATAATGGTGATGCCATAGATCAGTTGCTCATTGGAGCTCAGAGGCTCTGATACCATGAAACAAAACTGAAACCAATATACTTTCTTATTCAACAACACATTTGATAATGGAGTTGGACCCATTATTGGGTTAGGACTATTATTGAGAAGAGATTGACGGGTAGTTGAAATTTCAGGAGTGTAAGCATATTGGTTAGAAATATGTGTTGTGGTGGTGGTGGGTTGAGGAATGGAAGCACACTGGAGATGGAGGTCAAACTCGCAATGGGCACAACTGTAGGAAAAGGCGGTGCCAGGGAGATTGTAGGAATTGCAGAAGCAGGAACCTGTAGGTGGGAGAAGGGAGGAGGGAGAGAGGGTGAGGTGGGTGAGAAGGGTGGTTGAGAGAGCGAGTTGCGAGGAGGCATTGGTGGTGGAGGAAGAATTGAACATGGTGCCGACGGTTGGGAAGTTGTAGCCGCAGCAGTGGGCGCTGGTGCCTTGGGGAATTTGGTGGAAACTCAGGTTGTGGGGTTGGCTGAAATGCTTGAAATCCATCTGTCTCTTTCTCTCTCTGACCGTGTGTTTGTGTTCGTGATCTTGAAACTAGTTATGTATGTGTAAGCAAGCAAGCAAGCAAGATGAGGATTAGAGTTATATTAAATGGTTAGCATGAAAGGAATAAGATTCCTGATCCCTCACACTTGGCAGAAATTGTGGTATGGGTTAAGAAGATAACGTGCCCGCATGCCCATCAAATTGGAGGGGTGTATCTTTTTATTTCTCCCTTGTTTCTTTGTTTGTAGGCCATGTAATTCCTTAAGCCCGGCTCTTGGTTGGATACACTGTCGTCACTTATGCTGTGTTTGGTTGAAAGATTTTAAAAGCGATTTAGAAAATGAAAGAAAAAAGGTGTGTGAAATTATGTAAAATGTAGGTATATTTTATTCACATTTCATCTACCATTTCCATTTTTCTTTCCAAATCCATTTCCCAATCTCATAACTAAACACAATATTAGTGATTATGACTTTCACCTGTTTATTTTAACAAAAAATAATTTTTACGGAAAGTTTTTATTTTTATTCTGAAAAAATCAATTTCCCATCGTGTCACTAAAACTAATTTACTAATGAATGTATTAATGTTGGCAAGGTGATGGTATAGTGATATTGGTGAGATTTTAATTTGGAAAATTAACAAAAGAATTTTACTTAAATTTTGTTTGTTTTGATGTAAAATATTTTTACACATTTTTTATTATTTGATTGAGTAAAAAATAAGTAAAACATTAATTTAGTATTTGGTCATAATCATCCAAAAATGTCATTAAAAATTTAATAAGTTAATTTTTAGGAAGTTTAATACGTTTAGTTTAATCTTTCTAGCACATTGATTTTTCTAAAGTTGAAAGTGTGGTTCTTCATAGGCTTCTACCAAATATATACATAGAAATGTTATTGTTTCAAATATTAACCAAAAAAAATAAAATAAAATTGTTAGGTATTTTCGGAATACCATATAGTTATACTTCCTCACTAATCATCGTTAATTATGTTCCCTTATATTTCTCAATCAGTCAACTTAAAATCATAATACCCTACATTCTTTACCAATCATGTTATCAAAGAGTATCACGTGACTGTACTCCAGGACTATTATAAAATTAATTTACAAAAAAAAAATATTTTCAAGTGTAAACTATTTTATGATGAAATAAACGGAGTCTCAATTAAGGCTGTTTTCCGTTGACTACAGAAAACATTTTTTGTTGGCTCTGTCTTTCGTTATACTAAATGTCAGAAAAATACAATAAAAATATTTTTCAAAAAACATCAAATGGATTTTTTACTTACTTTTTTTATTATTTTTTATTATTATCATTTGACGCAGTTATTTATTTGTTAAGATACTTTTCTCTCGAGTTTGAGTCACCTTAAAAGACTATATTAGAGGTTTGCCCAATCATTAATTTGAAGATCTCTCTATTAGTTGAGGTGTATACATACAGGCTTGAACATTCGGCTATCAAAAAAATAAATAAAAAAAAGAGTGAATTTGTCCTTTGGCAAGTAGAAAAACATATCCTATGAATTTTGGCTAAAATAGCTAATAAAGATAAAAAAAAAAAAAACTGAAATAATTAATAAAATAAAATGTCACATTCTACACATCAATTAATCACTTGTATTCTCACAATCATCTATTTGATTACAAAAAAATTCACAAATCATTCCAAACATATATATATGTTATCTCATAAAATAATTTAAAAAATCAAAAAAACTAATTAAAATAGCTAAATTTTCAAAGGAGGACATAGTCAACCAAATATTATACATGCATGCACCCCATCACTAGTCAAAAACAAATGGAAGACTTTTCAATATTTTGACTCAGATTTGTTTCTCATTCTCTACTTCAAATGTGGTCTTCAACCATAGTGTAACACTTTCTTGATTAATGTTATAGATAAACGATATATTATTATTATAAATAAAAATAGTACGGTTCATATTAATTAATGCTCTTGTATAATTCATATCTGTGTCTAATAATAAGAAAATAATATAAGAAATGTGACAAAGTCTTTATCTAATAATAAAAAAAAATAATATGAGAAATATATTTATGTAATTGAAAGCAAGATTGGAGGATGAATAAATGAATTATTATAATTATATAATAAGGTGTATGCCCTACATGTTCTGGCAAGTAAGGGAAGCAAGTTGAACTGAACCTGCCTTGAATGGTTCAACACGATTCCTCACTCTTTCATTGACCTGGACTTTTATCATTTCATTTATGTTATTGTTTATAAAACTCAATCTCTAATGCTGTTTTTAGTTGGAGGATTTGAGAAGGGATTTGAAAAGAGAAAGGGAAAAAGCGTGTGAAATTAAGTAAAATATAGACATATTTTATTCACATTTCATATACCTTTTTCATTTTCCTTTTCAAATCTCTCTTTAAATTCTCCAACCAAACAAGACATAAGGGATCACAAAGTTGACTTACAAAATTCCATTTTTCAGCAGTTTGTTTTGTAGATTTTTATGTGTGTGTAATTAATGCTTCCCTGAAACTTCTTGCAATTTATTGTCTCTTGCTCTGACCAGTTATTTCATGGGTCTAGTTTCTAATTGAGAGAGAAGATTAGATCCTTACGGGACGTTTTGATGAGATGTTTCCTTCATTTTTTAGGTCATTGTAAATGAAACATTTATTATTATTTTTTTCAAAGCAATGTGATGTTTGTAATCATCAATTTTTATTATATTTAATTTTAAAAAAGTAAACGATAAATGCAATTTTAAAAATTGACTTACATATTATATCTCAAATTTTATGAATTATTTAAAATGAACTTAATCTTCGCTCTTTCTCTTTCTCCTCTTTTGTCCTGCCTCATCAACAACAGCCATTTCTACCTAAACTATGACCACCATTGCAAAAGGAAGGAAAAAAGAAAAGAAAAGAAAAGAAGAGAAAATGGCTTTTTAGGCATTTCATACTATTTTAGAAGTCATGTAGAATCATATGCCAAATTTAATATATTTATATAACGAATTTTTAAAGTTCATATTAATACAAATTGATAGTTCAATGTGACAAAGTGTAACATATTTTAATTGAGGAGATAAAGTAATAGTAAGTACTAATTCAAGGGGATAAAATGTACTTTATCATATAGTGGAATAGGGTATTTTTGTCATAAAAGTCCATAACACTCAAGCTAGAGATCTATTTATGAAAATCGTTAGGTCAAGCCATAGGTCCTAAAAGTCCATAACAATCAAGCAGACTACCGATTTTTCTAGAATAGGGTATTTTTGTCATAAAAGTCCACAATACTCCAGCCAGAGGTCCATTTATGAAAATCGTTAGGTCAATAGGTTTTCGCTTAAATCTTTTTGAGCCAAAATGACATTATTTATCCAAAAGGACACTTAGCTATTCAAAAGTTAGCTATCTGTCTATATGTTCAAATGTTACCTATCTATATATATGTCACCTATCTATCAAGCTATCTATTCAAATGTCCACTTATCTTTTTCAATTGTCACCTTGTTAGGAATTAACTTTGTCTAACCAAGATCGGTGATACACAAAATAGAAAACAAGAGAGATAATTGAATCAAAGAAATCAAACACACACAGTTTATAGTCTTAAAAATTAGTTTCAAATTTGAACTACAACGATTTTGCTGTACAACCGGTGTTGTTGGTCTTGTAAGCATACCAACACATTTGCATTTCATTTGGTGCAAAAATTTATTTGACCTCTTTCTCATGTTCTTATTAATTTTGGAAACAGTTGAAGCTTGGTACACCAAATCCAGATGATTTGGGGTACGTTGATTCTGTGTCTATGGAGGAAATTGGCGGTGTTAGGGTATGATCAAGCTACTTTTGGTTTTAATTTTGTTGGGTTTTTTCTTTATGTTTCTTCATCTTGAAAGATTAGATGACCTTGAAAGAGCAGTTTTTCAATACCCATGCATCATATCTATCTATCTATCTATCTATAGAGAGGAAACTACATACCCTGTTTCGTTAAAAGAAAACTCTTTCAGTCTTCTAGCCAACTCAATTTCAATAGCTGCAGCTCCATGTACTATATGGTTGTCCCTGCATATTGCCTGGCACAAAGATGCATAAAGCCACATTCAGATTAGCTCCTTAAGGACCAGTAGAAATTGATGCAACACTTTTTTTTTTTAAATATCAATATGCAACACTTTTTATGAAGTGAAGAATAGATTCAAATAAAAATGACAGGTAAAAGATGACCTATCTAAAATAAGTATCATAGATGTGTTACACAAAATTGCCTTGTATGTATTCACACCATCATCAACTGCTCTTTCAAGGTCATCTAATATACTATCTATGATCAAGCTACATGGGTATTGAAAAACTTAAGTGATTTGTGATTAGATTAAGATTTAATTGTGCCAATTCCCAACCAATTAAAGCTCATAATTTAAATCATCAAGCACGTACGAAAGTGATTTAGATTGTTGTTTCAGAAACAATAAATAGACACAAACAATTTTTACATGAAAAAAAAATCACTACTAAAGCACCTCTAATTGTGATTAACAAATCACGGGTAAAATGCCACAAATCAATCTACTACTGAAGAAAGATAGATTACAAATAGCCAAACAAATTACCCAAACGCTGTCAATTTGTCTTCCACAATCTGTATATCTTTCACCATAACCTTCGTGTCGGAATTGATCAGATTGATGTTGAATCCACAATATCCATTTTCGAATCAATGACTGTACATAGCATCAAACTCCTTTCATTACTTTGCGCTTGAATCTTCGGATTTCACCGAAGAAGAACACTCTTAAAGAAGAACAACCAAACTCCTTGATGTGTGCTAATCAAAACATGAGTTCAATACTCAATCAAACATCAAGGAAAACTAGCAAACCACCCCCCAAAAAAAACCTTAAAGCCCTCAAAGAAGATCTAAAAAATGTAACTCTAAAACTGACTTAAACAAGTACTTATAGAAAATAGGGGCATCGAAGCTCGCTCGAGCAAAGACTCTCTTACTCAAGCGAGGAACCAAATACTCGTGTTTTCCTTAAGTGGCGTCGCTCAAGCACACAATCCTCATTCATAGAATTTTTGCAGAGATGGACAACTTCTGGAAGCAGGACTTCTTCGCTCAAGTGAGCAAGGCAATTCAACTAGGAAAATTACAACTCAATAAACAATGTTGTTCGTGGGATTGACAAGACTGGGGGACCTAACAATCTCCCCCTTTGTCAATTCCTAGACAAAACATTCTAACACATTTTCTTAGAAAACACACGTGCTAACAAAAACAACCCACCAACTCAAGATCAAGATAACCAACTCAACTAACAAGAACAACTGTAGACACCCCATTTTTGACCGACCTTGAGACTCAGATGTCACCAGTTGAGCGCTTGGTGATATTGCATGTTGTGCTAGTTCAGAAGTTTCAGAGTCTCGGCTGCGAGCCTTGCCTCCGAACTTCCGGACCTTTTTGTGCTTTGCCTCGGTTTGCGAACCAGGCTCTGTTTTCTTTGGTTTTTCTTCGTGAAGGGAGGGAGAGGTCTCGTAGATCATCTCTCAGTGGCCGTAGGCTACCTTTCATGGTTGTAGGCCATTTTTGCCCGTTTGGAGTCCGGTTCCCGGTTTTTCGGAATCGTTGGCCGTGTGCCTCGGTTCGGGACCGCTTAACCATCTCCGTTTGCTCCGGTTTTTGGCATACTTCTTATTTGCTCCCTTTTGAGGGACACTGTGGTCCGAGAGACCGACTTCGTGGTCGAACACCACTCCCAGTGACTAACAGTCAATTTTCGGGGCCTTGGACTGCGCGTTTCAGCCCACCGAACCTTCATTTTGCATTGGTTTTGGTTCATTTTTGGCTGGGACCTCTGTTTCATTGGTAAGAAGGCCGTAGAAGGGTGGGAGGACAGTAATTGTTCTGTCAGCCAACTTTATCCCGTCATCGTCCTCCGTCGCCCGATTTTCTTCACTTCAAAGCCAATGTTGAACATCCTGGGGCCATTTTCTTGAACCCTAAACCCCATATTTTTGATGTACACACCTGGGAGGCCACCAATATCATATGGCCGGCCACCAATGTTGCTTGACCCTTTTGAACCCCTCAAAAAAGTGGGTTTTTCTCTCTCCTGGTTTACTTTCTCCAGTTTTTGACCATATGGTTGTGTTGTGCACACATGGGAGGCCACCAATATCATATGGTCGGCCACTAATGTTGATTGACCCTTTTGACCCTTGGCCAGCCGGCCATGCTCCTTGCTGAAGGCACTTTCCAAATATGCATATGTTTTCCCCCCAGATTCTGTATCCGGGGGGCTGCTTTTTGGGGGGAAACTTGATGGTTTTCCCTCCATTTCCCCCCCCCCTTTTTTCCCCCATTTCTGTCTATATAACAGGGCCTTCAGCTCTGTAATGAGGGTTACAAAAATTCCCTCTAAGGCCCTTGCGTTATATCTCTCTCCCTCTCCATCCCAAGCTCAAAAACCCTTAAGTTCTACACCGCTTTCTTCATCAACCCATAGCCCCACCCTTCCATCCTCCATTCCAGCAGTTTGAGGGTGTTCTCCAGAGCCTAAGAGTGCTGCATTTTGGTCCAAGAGTTGCCAAAAGAGTGGTCTTCAAGGGTAAGTTCTATTTTCCTCCTTTTGGTCCATATTTTGCATGCTATTCTAGCTCCTTGTGCTTGCTGTTTTGGGCTCCGACCCTAACTAGAACTAGGCTTATTTTGAGCTATTTTTCATGTTTGTTTCAGGGTATTTACCTGTTTGAGGTCTCCTTATTGCACTTGCTTCATTATCACTTTTGTATGCCTATTGCTTGTGTAGTATTTTTGGCCTATGTATAAACTGTTTTGAGCTCTGTCATGAACTGAAAAGTAGCTTATTTTGCGCCCTTATTCAACATTGTTGAAGGGCTCATTGCTTTTTGAGGCTTATATCTTCCACTTGCCTTTATATCTCCATTTTGGCTCCATTTTTGCATGATTTGTTAGCCTATTTTGCTTCTGTTTTTGGGCTGTGATCTGAACAACAAATGGCCTTATTTTGACCCCATCTACATGTTTCATTAAGGGATTTTCATGGTTTGAGGCATATTTTATATACTTTGTGTTATATCTCTCTTTTGGCCATATTTTTGCATGATTCGTTAGCCTCGGATGCTTCTATTTTTGGGCTCTTTTCAGAACTGAAAAAAGTCTTATTTTGACCCTCTCTTCATGTTTTATTAAGGGTCTTTCATGTTTTGAGGCATATTTTATATACTTTGTGTTATATCCCTATTTTTGGCCTTATTTTGCATAGCATTTTGAGCATTCTTGCATACTGTTTTGGGTCCGGCCATCAACTGTAAAGTGCATTATTTTTGGCCCCTCTTCAACATTGTTGAAGGGCCCCTTTGTTTTTAAGGCCAGAAACCACTACTTGCTTCTTTGGCCCTCTTTTGGCCCATTTCTTGCATGAGATCTTAGCCATACCTGTGTTGGTTTTTGTGGTTTGTGGTAAACTCTAAAAGGTCATATTTTGGGCCCCTCTTCAACATTGTTGAAGGGCCCTAATCTGTTTGGGGCCAGAAGCTGTGAGTTACTTCATTATCTCACATTTAGGGCCATTTTTGCATGCTAGTTTTTCCCTATTTGTGTTTGCTGTTTGGCCTTGATTAGAACTGAAAACATGCTTGTTTTGGGGCTGCCTTGAATCTGTCTTTACATGTCATGATCAAATAATGCATGCTCGAGTTAGCTACAAGTCATTTCATATGCTTAATCTTGCTTTTCGGGACCATTTTCATGCATCGGGTGCCATGTGTTTATGATTCGGGGCTGTTTTGGGTCATGTTTCGCTGCTGAAACTCACATGTTGGTATGCCATATTCCATGTTTTGCCATGTCTTGTTAGAGTGGCATTTCGTGCCTTAGGGTCGGTCCTCAGTTTGCGTGCATGCTTGTACGCACTTCGAGTGTCTCATTTTCATCTGATGGCCTCCTATGTGAGTGTGGCTGAGGTCCACTTGTGTTGGTGTAAGCCCATATTGCATTGTGTATGCCATTTCATTTCATAGCATTGTGTATGCTAGGTTGCATGTTAGCGCATTGTGTATGCCATGTTACCTCGTGCATCGTGCATGCCATTTCATAGCATTGTGCATGCTAGGTTGTATCTTAGTTGTATTTCATGCATATCATGCATATTGCATCGTGCTTGGGATAGGAGTTAGCTCGGGCACGGGAAACGAGGTACGTTTCGTACTGCGAGTGACGGAACGTGTCTCAATTCCCAATCACCGACACTCCGGATTATCCATGGTGGAGTTAGGTTTTAGTTGAGTTTTCATGTGCATTCATTCTATATTGAGTAATGCAAATCGACTCCTCGGCCATTGTGCATCGAGATGCGTGATTGGTGGCACGAGGATCAAGGCATGCATACATTTGTGAAAATACATTGCTATGCCCCTTTCTTGCTCTCCGTTGCAGCAAATCAAGAATTAGCAATCTTCCAGAGCTTGGCGCGCTTTCCAAGAGTAATTGAAAAACAGAGGCTAATTGGGGCATCCCAGTGGATTTCCGCGCAAGGCAGCCCAGACATGCATCGTTCATCAGAGTCAAGGCAGTCCCTGACTTGCATGCCAGTTTATAGCTTTCTTAGTTAATTTGTAAATTAATTAGGAATCTGTATTATTTGGACTGTACTATTTATTCGGACCCTCTGCGCGAGGGCAATACT